TATCTCTAATTCATCATTTAGAACTGCCTTTTAGAAATTTCCTCATGAGGGCCTGTGGTTCTGGCTCAGTGATAGAGTACGTGCCTAGCATGTGTGAGGCACTAGTTTCTATTCTCAGCACTACCTATAAATAAATAAAGGTCCATCAACAACTAATAAAGTATTTTTAAAAAAGAAATTTCCTCCTGAGTATAGTTCTAAAAGGGAATTAACCACCCATACCAAAGCACAGATGTACCCAATACTTTTACATTTCAATTATTGGCTCTAACCCAAAAGAATGATCTGGTTACATTGTATAAAACTACCAATACCTTTAGCTTTTCCTTTTTCAGCTCATAAACGGAACCAACCAGAAGCCAAATTCCAGTCATCCTGCTCATCAAAGGGCTTTTTCTTCCCCTTCCTCTTATTCCACTGGTTCTTGCTGAGTTTATTCTGATATTCTCTTATATATTCCTTGTTGGGTGCCATGACTGCCAAATCTTTCTAACATAGGCTTTGACAATTCCATTTCTTTGTTTATTAATTCGTAATATGTTATCATAATTTGTAAAATGAAGTTTAAATCTAATGAACCTGGCACTTAACCAGTGTCCCTCTTTTGCTTCCAGATCTGGCTCAACTTACTTTTTTCCTAAATTTATTTTTATTGAATAAAAAAGTAAAGTCATGGATTTTATCTCTGTCTGGGAAAGTTAACAGATTTTTGCTCTTAACAAATTGCTTCTAAAAATCATAAAGTTACTGAACATGAGAAAATAAAATCAAATTTGTTGTTATAGCTGTAAAAATGACCAGTATAACATTTCTTCCTGATATTTTAGAAGTAGGTTTTAATATAATGGAGCATCAAACATGTGATAAAACACAACCTTGTTCTTTATTTCATTTATTATTTTTGTTTTTAAGGGTATGTAGAGTCATTTTTTAATGTAATTCCTGTTGATGTTTTCTCTGTTAGCACGAAGCATCCTAGAAGTGGCACAGGGAACAGCAGTCACCCTTACATTCAAGGTGCTGTAGAGTGTGCCTTTGCCTCAGCCTCTGAACCAAATTGCTCAATAATCACACATAGCACATCTGTAATTGTTGACTGTCAATTTGTAATATTCTAAACTTATTTCCTTTTTCAACTTGTATTTTTAATAATATACACTTTAAAAATAGCATTGTGAAAGATTCCTAGTCTCTGCAGATGAAAGTGAGATGAAAAATAAATTAGTTTGGTCCTTACAAAACTTTTTAGAATTATCAGTAGAAAACTTTGAGTATTTGAAGATTTGAATCGGACTGAGTGAACAGACACAGGGATGCAGTAATGAAAGATAAGTTTATATTCTGTATGTGGTGCCAAGATTACTTTGAGAATGGGGAAGCCAGCTAAGTGACAAGGAGTTGTTGAAGCAAATACTTGGAGTGGGAGAAGTGATATGGGTTAGAAGCAACTAAGAGAGTCATTTCAAGGTGAGATGGGAACTTGAAAATCAGTGGGAAGTCAGAGATGGAACTTTAAGCAGGAGTTGATAAGCATTAGGGAGGAAAACAAATTTTTTTTGAGACATGTAAGACTGATTGCAATGGAGAATGGTAGAGACCAGGGAGAAGAATAAGGAAGAAATTGCAGTATAAGTCAAAGATGAAAAATTGTCAATGTAAGTGTGAAGGTTTTTTCAATAGCAAGAAGGAACTTGTATTGAAATATGCCACCCAAATTGGCTCACCTCAGGGGAGCTAAGGTGACAGGCTAATGTGCTGGTAACAGATGGTTTTCCATTCCCTTTCAATAAAGTGTGAAGCTAGACTCCCTGATAGTAAGTCAACAAATATAAGGGTTTTGAAATTCATTTGTATTTATTGGAATCTGCTATACATGCTTGTATCTTTGGATACAATCAAAGATACCTTGAGTCCTTAGTTTGCACATTCTCTTGTATTTGCAAGGAAAAATTGCAAAGGTGATTATATGAATAAAGACCCTGTGAGTCTGGCATTTTACAGCTCTCCATCGGTTTACCTAGGAAACATTCAATAACAGACATGGTTTTAGGTTCAACCTAGGAGGGGCAGGGTGAGATAAGATTTCTCTTAATTTATGACTGCTAAATGATCTTACTTTCTTGAGTTTCAAAGATGGGAAAACAGATTCATAGAAGTTCCATAACTTGCTGCAGTCTCCATGGCTAGTCATATTTAGATGATGATTGTAGATTCTGTTTTCCTTTCTCTTTGCTCCAAAATATCCTTCTAAACATCTTACTCTGGACATTTCCACTATCAACTTATATCATCTTCCCTTCATTTTTGTTACTGGGAGTTGTTGACAATGGAGATTCTTTCTCTATTTAGAACCTAGCTAATGTATTTACATTCTTCTCTCACTAGTTTTTAGTCTCTGGGATTGGAAATTGAGTCTTTTAACAACTTGGCCTTTATGTTGCCCTTACTTTTCACTTAAAGTCATTTGTCAAAGCATGTTGATTTTACTTCTATCTAAAAGGCATGACTGTCACTGGTGTAGTTCAGAACTAAAATATCTCTCCTTGGGAATGCTCAAGGAATCTGTAAATGGTTTAGTAGTTTTATTTTCTTTCTTTATTTTTTCTTTCTCTTTCTCTCCAGTACTGCTTGATGCACTTGCTAAAAACCTGCTTTGGTATTTTACTTTTCCATTTGGCAGCCAGCAGTTGCCTTTGTCTAATAAAGACATCTTCTTAGCCTAGTATTCATTGATCTGTTTCCACCTACCCTTAAAAGAATTTCCTTTTAATAATACATCTATGACCCCTTCTTACCAGATAAATAAAATTTTTAACCATTTTCTAGATCTAACCCATGTATTCTTGTACTTCCATCTCAGGATTTTTTCTCTTTTATCATATTCTTTGTTCATTAACCAAATCAGTCTCCTAGAGCTACTGTCTTTCCCTCCTTGACATCTCTGGTATCTGCATCTTCCTTTTCATCTTCAGCCTCATTGGGCCCTCACATTTCTCTGCTGGCCTGGCCCTCATTGCTGTCATGATGATTTTTCTCTCGTGGCAGTCTTCATTTCCTTGCTTGGAAACTTGGCTACAGTCCATGTTTTGAAGCAAGTCCTTGAGCTTGGCATTCAACTCATATCATGGCATTTTCAAATCTTTCACACCATTCTTCCTTCTTTCTTGACTGTATGGTGTACTTTTTATTTCTAGATGTGCAGCTTAAGTTGTTGCATATATGTTTGTTACTCTACTCTTTTCTGAAATTCTCGCCCCTGTTTTTTCCACCTCACAAATTCTTAGTTCATCCTTTAACTTGTTGTTCAGGCATGACTTCCTGAAGCATTTTCCTGAGTACCCCAAATAGAGTTAATATACCTATTTTCTATGTAAGTGTTAGAATGTTACTGACTTTCATGTAATTCTACAGTTGCTATCATGCAATGATACAATGGTTGTTTTGCATGTGTGACTTCTATTTTAAGTGTGTGTAGGGGTGCATACCTTATTCATATTTGCATCTCTAGTACTTAACATAATGTGCTATGAGAAATATTTATTTTTAACTAGGTTGAATTAAAAGAAACCTCAGCATTTCCAAATCCAACAGAAACTCCAGATCTTTCTTTGGGTATTCACTTAGTGTGCCTCCTCTTATATCAACCCCAACTGGGAAGGATCCTATCTTCCTCTAATCCATAACATATTCTAAGCTCCATTTTTTTTTGGCTGGGTGGGGGGCAGGTACCAGGTATTGAACTCAAGGGCACTCAACCACTGAGCCACATCCCCAGCCCCATTTTTGTATTTTTATTTAGAGACAGGGTCTCACTTAGTTGCTTAGCATCTCACTGTTACTCAGGCTGGCTTTGAATTCTTAGTCCTCCTGCCTCAGCCTCCAGAGCTGCTGGGACTACAGGCCTGTGCCACCACACCTGTCTCCAAATTTTGACACATGCTACTTGTGTTTTGATGATTGTGGATACCTTTTTCTTCTAAACTCTATGCTCTGTTAGGAGAAAATTTAATTACCTTTTATTTCATATCATTTAATATATGAACTTTGCAAATATTAGAAGAAAAATATGGGTGAAATAAATGAATAGATTCATAAATCTTGGAAAATTAAAGAAATTTAAAACTTTAGAGAAGTTTAGAATAATCTCTTTCATTATACATATCAGATAATCAGATTCAGAGATTCTGTCATTTTTTTAAGGTCTTCGCATCAAGAAAAGAAAATTCAACAAGAAATAGTTTCCTGGTTTCAGGGCAATGATTTTATGTATTATCTAGTTATGCTGCTCTGGATCTTCATGTATATAAGTTATATGAATCTTTTTGATATATTACATGGTTAATTAATTACTTAATTTTTTTCCAGTGGTAATTATGTAAATTATACAAATATATTTGCTAGTTTAGAATTTTTAAAAACAATAAATTTTCCACTTGGATAAATGTTCAAAAGACTATGATAACACTCTGGAAATCACAACAGATTAAGAGAGAAGATATAGAATGATTATAAAATGAGATATTTATATTAAATATACTGACATTTCTGAAAAAAGACCATAAGAAGAAAACTACAAAGGTGTTTGCTTTTACCCTTAGTACTCATTTTAAAAATTAGGGCATATTCAGTAGCAAATTAGTTTGTTTTAAAATCAGTACAAGGATGTGATTATTCATATTCATAAATGTAAAACATAAATATTATCTATTCATTGAATGGAAAACAGTTCAGCTTATTAATTTAGTTCTTTAATTTTGCATATTTGCATATGCATACCGTAACTCATATAAATATGTTTGTCACCATGTATCATGGTTGCCATTTTCTGCATATAATTTGATTCCCTCTGTTTAAAAACTGACAAATGTTACATGTATTATAGGTTAATATTGAGATAATAAGCAAGAACATGTCATTGTTTGGGCCCCTGTAAAACATTACATTCCCAGAAAAGCTGGAGGTTGATTTCTAACTGTCTTTTAATATTTTCTCTTTAAAAGGTAAATAAGATTTGTGGCCATCCAGTAAGAACACCTACACAAAGCCCCCCTTGTTCTTTTGATCCTAGCAAGGAGAAGCATGGAATGAAGATCTCCACAAGGAATGGTGAAGAGACACTTGCCAACAGAAGAAAGTAAGACATTTGTTTTACAACCAGAAAGAGAGAAGAAAGTAAGCCATTCATTTTACAACAGAATAGAACGTATTCATTAAGTAGACCCAAATACAGTATAGAAGAAAAAAGATCAGCGTTCATTAACTTTGAAATTCAGTGGCTGTACCTGTCCCATTAATTTGGAAGACAGATTCAGCTTGTGAGACCAATAAAAAAGTCCCTGCAGTAATGGAAATTATTCTATATTATAATATGCTAGGTATAGACACACGTGACCATTGTGCATTTGAAATGTGGGTAGTGCAACTGGTGATTGAGTTTTTTATTTTACTTGTAAGCTGAATTCTGCATACAGCTAGTGGTGACCCTACTGAACAGTGTAAGACAGAATAAATTTAAATGATGTATTATTGGGTTCAGCATTATTGAATATTTAGCATCTCTTAGAAATAGTTGGATAGAAAAGAAGTTTCCATACAGTTTACCTGGAATAGTGAAAACGGCTGTGGTAAGAACTGAGCTGGGCTTGCTTCTAGAACTCACATTTCTAAGACCATGCCCATTATTACCTCACAAATTAAAGCCTTTATTAGTGTTCCTTTGCTAAATAATTGGTACTTAAGCTGAAAAATTCTTAAAACTGTCAGTAACTGTACTTGACTGTATACATATAGGCAAACAAAAATTGTGGGGGTGGCCATTGTTATGGACTGATTGCTTGTATTAGTACTAGAATAAAGGCTATCCAATTCATGAATGGCAAGTAAAGTCCCATTAGTTCTTTAATTAAATCTGTTGTCAATTTGTCTTTGCCAATATTTTCAAGGGTAGTATATAGTAAAGTACTTATATGTAATAGATACTTACAGAAACATAGGAAATAGGATGAGGAATGAAGAAAATACATAAATGAAGATAAAACAAATAAGGAAAGGAGTAGTCAGATAAATTAGGATACTATGGCAGGAATTGAGAAGGATATTCAACTCATCCTTCTGTATCTGAGAAACAGATATGCTTGAGCATGAATATATATTAACACACACGCTATTATTGAAAAGTGTTTTTTAAACTTATCATTCCCTAAGTAAAAAAAAAAAAGTTAATGTTCTCAGTTGAAATTTTCATGAAAACTGATGATACTCATTTTTTTCATTTTATATGTTAATATTGTTTTTCATTGTAGTGTGTATTAAATATAGTTACCATACAGAGATAAAATAGAATTGGACAAGTATAGTTGTTGACTTGTTTGGATTTCCCACTATGACTCACTAATTAAAATTTTTAAAAATACATGAAAAATAGACAAAAAAAGAAATGAATTTTTCTAAGTGACCATGTAGATCATTAACAAAATAACTCTGTGTAATTCATTAAAAAGTGAAGTAAAAAAATGTTTATGTATCCTTAGTTACTTTTAAAAAGTGAAGTTAAAAAAGTTTATGTATCCCGAGTTAATTTTTATAAATTATTGTTAAATACATGTTAGTTTTTCTTAGGTATTCATTTTTTTAAATTTACTTTGGACAATTCTTATGAGAATACTACTAGCAGAAACTACTTTCTATAATTTAAACCAAGTCAAAACTATTAAAAGAAGGACATGGAACAAAATAACTTAGTAGTTGTTATAGTTTAATATAGTTTCTGTGGTAGCCCAGAATACTCAATTACAAAATGTGCCTATGACTTGGCCAGTGAAAATGAAGATAAAACTATATTATGTTGTCTAAAATTTTAAAATGCATTTTATAGAAATAAGTTGTAGCCTTTTCAAATTATATTTTTATAGTTTACTTTAGACTTAGTTTAAAATTTCTAGAATGATGGAATCCTAACTTAAAAAAAAAATCATTTTAGGTCTTTTTCTTTCCCTAAATCATTTTAGGAAGAGTTTAACTTGTATAGCCTGGATGACATCAAAGAATTCTTTTCAATGTATGTTAATACAAGTGTAGGAGTAGGAAAAATGGCTTCCCTCCACCTTCCAGGTTTTTGGGCTGAGGTGTGAATTAAATTGACATAAGACAAATCAACCAGAAAATCTATTTTAGTTATGTAGGTAGGCATTGAAGGTCCCCAAAATATATGAGACTCAAATTTGAGGCTCCTATGGGATAACATTTAGACCTACCAAAAGCTTATGGATTCTTGGAAGTGGTGGAAATAAGTTGTGAGAGGGGGAGGGGAAGATGTATGGTGAATGGAGTTTGCTTTGTTTACTAATGATAATTTCTTTTATATATGTAAATTTTTTTTTACAGAAGGGCAGCTTTTCAAAACTACTCCTGTATCTGCAGTTTCTCAAAATATCCAGCTTGAAGTAATTGATAGCTGAAGAGTTATAGTTTTGAGTGGCATGTTCTGGTCTTCCCTAGTCATGTTTTGATATTTTGGGGTGGTATGTCATACACACAGCATAAACATTGTTGATTTATAAAAAATTTGACCAGCTTCCTTTCTTTTTGACTAGCCAACAGTGTGAAGTGATGATTAATCAACCAGTCTTTGTTATACAATTGGAATGTTTAGTCCATTTTTGTAGTCATAAATAATATTCTAGTTTTTCATAAGTGGTTTTGCTTAAGAGTATCATCTTGCTTTTTATCTTCTCTTTACTCTGTGTATTTCTCTTTATTCCTTCTTTCTTGCCTTCCTTTGAATTAAACTGACATTTATTATTTCTTATCCTTTCATAGCTTTTAGATATGTATTTCTTTATTATTCTCTTAATGGTTACCATAGGATCACAATATGCATTTTCAATTTTTAATATTTTAAATAAGGACTTGTATCACTTCGTGGAGCAATAAAGCAATTTAGAACAGATTTACTCCATCATTCTTTTTCCATCTTGTGTGGTTATATCAGCAAATATCTTACTTGTACTCAGGTTTTTACAACTCTTAGGACATTAGTTTTGTTCTTATTTTTAGATAGTCAATACTTATAATTACTCACATTTTATTCTTTCTGGTGCTACTCCTCCCATTTCACGTGTTAATCTATAATCATTTTACTTTTACCTAGTATATCTCTCATTGATTTGGGTGGGGATGGAAAAGATTGAGGATTGAACATAGGGCCTTGAACATGCTAGGCAAATATGTTACCTCTGAATTAAACCCCAGCCTTCATCGATTGTTATTATCAATGCATTCTTTTAGTTTTTGCTTGTCTGTGCAATCTTCATTATTGCAAAATATTTTCTCTATGTCTAGCATTTACAATGTTGTCAGTCTATCCTTTTTAGACATAATGTCTAAGCCAACATTAAGTTCATCACATGACATTATGTGTAAGTAGTAGGGAAAGTTAAGGGGAACCAATTTAATGAGTGAGAGTCAAGGTAGTTGATACTGCTGTTGCCTCACTCATGTGCCCTCTACCTGGCCATTTTCCTGACTGGCTGCTGTGTCCTGGCTGCTAACTCACTGCTGCTGTCTTCTCTGAGGAACTGTGTTGAACAAATCAGAGCCATCAGTATTTCTTATCTATTGCTACCGAATAAGTCATTATAAAATTTAGTGCTTAATGCAACAATAAGAAATTATTATTCTATTTTCTGTGGGTTAGGAATTTGGGAGCTGGTCAGCAGTGGGGCTTTGGCTCAGTCTCTAGAGAGATTGCTGTCAAGAAGTGTCTGGGGCTTTGGTCATCTGCAGGCTGGAGTTATCGAGTTATCTTTTCCCACAACAGTTCAGTGATGTGCCTGTTAGCAGTATGCCTCAGTTTCTTGCCAGGGTGAACTTCCCTAGAGCTGAGTGTTCTCTCGAGGTTGTGACTGGCTTCCCTGAGGGCAAGGAATCTAAGAGAGAGCCAGGCAAGGGCTGTAATTTTATAATCTAGTCTCAGAAGCCACACTTTGTCATTTCTGCAATATTCCATAGGTTATACAGCTTAGCTCTTTTCACTGTTAGAAGGGGTACACATGGCATGAAGGGAAGATTGTTGTGGTCATCTTCAAGAGAGGTTACCACCCATCTTATCTACATTAAGGAGTAGGTAGACTCTCACCTACCTCACCTGTTTGTCAGCTGCTGATAGGCAATAACTGACAGGATGTGGTGATGTAAGAGGTTTGCTCCTTTCTTAAGGTATTGAAATTAGTGCTTTAGCACTCCCTGTGATTTTTGGCTGAAACTCACATTTTTAGCTAAACTTCTTCTTCCCCACCCTCTCCTCTTTCCCTTACTCCCTTTCTCCAAAGAATTATCTGTCTGATTCCAAATTCCTGTCTTGAGCACTGCTTCTAAGAAATCTGAACTAGAGATGTCTGAATTTGGAAAAGTAGCTAAAATAAATACAGAATGAGTATAAACTAAGAATTTTAGTATCATAACTATAGATATTTCTTTCCATAGCACCAAATTCATAACTTTTTCTTTCCTCCCTCTTGCTCTTTTGTTCACTTTATAGAAAACTCTCTGTTAGATACATGCTTTTCTTTTGTACTAATATTTGAAAATGAACAATTTTCTTATTAAAATATGTCCTTTTATAAGACTTGTGCTAAACAAACTTCATAATGTATGTAAATCTTTCAGTTTGGAGAGAAGGGAACCAAACTGGAGTTGGATTGTTTTTGTTTTGGACATGTGACTGTCCAGTTCAATCTTCCTTTTTTTTTTTCTATATGCATAGTGCAGTCTAATTGAAGACTCTGGATTATTGATACATGCTACTTTCAGTAGTCTCCAAAGTTGAGCAAAGCAAGTAAGAGCTACTGCTCCTTTAAACAGCTAACAACACATCACTATTTCCTCCTTTTGGGCAGAAACCAATCAGTACAGCTGTATGGGACATTGCACTCATATAGATGTCTAAACCATCCCAGGCAGAGGGATCTCCCTGTGGCAGTTCCTGTTCTCTGCTTGATTTCTTGAAGTTAGCTGGTAAGAATAAGCTATTAGCAAGCTTAAATCGGTGATAATTAGCTGTACATTATTATTTCAAAGTGGTGTGGCTGTGCCAATTAAGTGGGTAATTAGGAAAACCCCAGGACAATAAATTAAGACAGAACCTCAACACAGGGCCCCAT